AAAAAGGCATCAAAGTCAATCAACAAGGTCCTACAGATTTCTCAAAGCCCTATTTGGTTAACCCTTTGAGTCAGTGATAATTTCCGCGTCTAAAACATTAATGTGAAAGTTTGTAAAGGCAACTAGTTTGCCATACCCCAAACAATTGTCATGCTCAACATTTTCTCATCTATATCATGTTCTAATTCTATTTTCTTCATAGCTACTTAGGCTCCAGGATAATGGCCGTGACTATGGATCCGAAACCAAACAAGCTGCGAGAGAATGTCATCTTAAAGTTCAGAAACCTGAGGGTGAGATCAGCATCGCAACAATATCACTTTTTTTACGCTGTGTTTAAATAGTTTAAAGTGATTATATCCATTTTTAGGTAGATGGAGAAAAGAAATGCATGTTTTGGAGTGGCTTCGGTGAAAGGTAAAAAGCGGAAATACAGGTCATGTATTTGTTTAGTTTTATTACAGGTTATACTTTTTTCAGTTTTATTTGTTGTTTTGTGTCTATTCGTTTCAATGCTTATTTGTTTCTTCTCCTTTTTCTTTGCATAATTTTGGATGTCAATAACTTTTTTTTCTTTTTTTAGCTCAGACGGATTTTCAGAGAGTGGATGCCAAGTCGTTACATCGAAAAGCAACTCAGAAGAAACAGTTTGCAGCTGCAATCATTTGACTCATTTCGCTGTACTAGTTGACTACAACGGTATCCCAGGGGTAATGAATTCATTTTTACCCTAGCATGAGTATTGATAATCAATTCTGTTTAGTTAATTGACATTTTTCTAATATCTCGTGGTGTCATTTGTGACACAGCTCACCAAAGAGGACGAAACTAATCTGGAAATTATCACCTACGTGGGATTAAGCCTTTCCATTGTTGGGATACTTTTGACAATTATTCTATATTCCTTCCTCACGTAAGTACTATAGACAAAAGCTAAAATACATTAGCCTTGACAAGACTTTGAAGACTTTGGAATTAAATCAGACTAGTTCGTGAGAAACTAATACTAGATAGAAATTTATAATAATAACAATAATAATAATAATAATGATAACACTTAAAAAAATAATCATAGAAATTACGGTAATAAGTGATTATGATAAAATACATTGGAAGAAAAATGAAATCTATCTGGGCGCTAGCGATGAAAACACCTAAACTGGTACAACATGAAATGAGAAGGATACGCTATTTTTTTTTAATGTTCTTTGTTATTTTGTTATTTTTTTATCTTTTTGTTTCTTTTGTGCGTTTGTTTGTCTGACTATTTTACCAGAGATGTTCGTCAGCCTCTGTCTCAAATACGATTGAGTCTTTCTGTGTCCCTTGGAGCTGGACAAGTGATCTTTCTCGCGGGTGTAAACGCCACAGAAAATACGGTAAGTGCTCTCTCCATTCATTCATGGTATAAGCATTCTGGGGGTGTAAGATAATTTTCAGAAAGGAGCATGAAAAACATTCAAGAACTTTGCTTTCTCCCTCACAGGCTTCGTGTATTACGGCTGCAGCTCTCATGCAGTATTTTCTGATGGCCGCTTTCTGTTGGATGCTGGTCGAGGGGTTTTATCTTTACCTGTTGGTTGTGAAAGTTTATAACATCAGCGAAAAAATGCTCATGTATCACGTTATGTCATGGGGTAATTTCATTTTATTTGTTGTCAGTTATTGATACCTCTTTTGAAATGCTTCAGATCTGACTGAACCTAACTCGGATTGCACTGACTCCCTCCTTCTTATATTTAGGTTTGCCCATCATAATGGTAGGAATTTCGCTATGCATCGCCGCTGGAAAAGATGGAATAGGAAGTTATACCAATGATAAATAGTAAGAACAACATTCAGTGCTGATATCTTCCCCTACTCTATCATCTCTCTATTTTTATCTCTTTCTCTGTTATTTATTTTTGTTTTGCTGCGGGAGGTTTGAGGGTTACTTTCTGCAAATACATATTTGTCTTTTGCTTTAATCTTCTCTTTCAAGTTGCTGGCTCTCCTCAACTAACAACCTGATCTGGATATTTGTCGCATTTGTGGCGTTTATGGAAGTTGTAAGTCGATGATAAATTAATGCATTATAGCCATTTTTTAAACCAGTATTGACTACTGCTAGAGATTTTTTCTTTTTCTCATGCTCCGAACTAAAACAAAGAACATCTTTGTCTTTTGGACTACCAGGCTCCAATTGCGCAATATACTGTGGCGCTTGTCTTTTAACGAAGAACTAGGGAATGGTCTAGTAGACCTTTTGGTTTTCTTTACCTTAATAAGAGAGCATCCAAGCTCGGAACGCGAAGAGCTGTGCTTCAGGTCTCGTGCAAGATTCAGACTTTTAATTTCTCTTCTATCGGTAACACACTTAAAAATACTTTTTTGTTTCAGCTAAACATTTTTGTACTCGTCCGAGTCATAAAGGAGATGAACGAACTAATACAACCAACAGGGGAAGACAACCATACTCAGCAAATACAGTAAGATCTAAAATCAGAATTTGAAATGTTATTTCAATTAATTAGGGGAAACCGAATGAAAAAAATAGATAAGAACAAATTGCTTTATAATCTTGTTCTGACGTATTTTCCTAAATTCTCCTCTAGATGATCTAAGACAATTTCAACTTAAAAATTTAATTCATATGAAGGAAACGGATGTGTTTTTAATCCACAAATTATATATCGTTATCTTTCTTCAGACTTTGCTTCAAAACATGCGCGGTGATGATTCCACTCCTGGGTGTCACGTGGGTATTCGGTCTTTTGTTACCATTACACAAAGCTTTCGCCTACATTTTCACCATCTTCAACTCTACTCAGGTGAGCTTTAAAGAAAAACGTCGAAAATTTCATCATCCGTACGCATACTTCATTATTAAAACTGCTGCGACATTCTCGTATTGACCAGGTGACAATTCCGATCAAAAAATAATTTATTTAACTAGATAGAATTTCTCACTTCTTTTGTGAGATCAGGGGCATGCTTTGATTTTTTCATGATTTATCTACCGAATAAACAGAATTAAATCTTGATACAAAATCAGATCATGATGCAATTTTCTGTTTTAGGGTTTCCTGATTTTCGTCTTTCACTGTGTGCGAGACAGCCGGGTAAGATGGACATCAATCTAAAGATGCACCTAAAGCAAATTTCGAAGTTTCTAGATATAAACAAAGATTTGAGTGCTTGGTGATTCATATTTTGTCGCGTGTTTATTTACAGATTAGAGAGAGATTGAAAAGAAAGATGAACACCACTTTTCCATCTACAGACAATGGACGTTCTGCAAAGAAGAGTTCGCAGGTTAATCCAAGAGATGTCGGCAATGCTTGGGCAGTTGAATTGCAGTCGTTTCATGAATAGCAATATAATATACCCCTTCTTTTAGTTGCTCAGTTAAGCCTATATAATACCATAATGTCAGTAAAATATGGTCGTTCTAATTCGATGCATTAGTCAGTATTATAATTCTTTTTTGTAGTGAGTAGTGCTAATGGTTGTTCACATAAGTTGATATTAAGGAGCGCGGTGAATAGTTCACGTTCTCGGTTGTCAGCAACACTGAGCCAAGTTTGTTCGACAGGTTTTCTGGTTGAATCACTCAGTGGTACCTGAAACTGCCTCTTGAAATGTTGCAACCAGAGAGGACATCTGAAACAAAATTATTTGTGGAGAAGCATAGGAGCAAAATGCATGTACTCATAGACAATCAAAGCATAAGGTTTTTTTTTTTTAAATGTATTTATTAAATAACTATACTACATCGTAATATTAGCGCAAAATTAGTTTGCAGTAAGTACCTTTACAAGGTTGTTCTAGTTCTTATCATTTTGGCTGCATATTACTTTGTGCGCACAGAGTTGAATAATTTCAATGTTTCACAAACTTTCGCAAAAGAAAAAGCTACAAAAGTTAGATGAAACTTAAAGGGTATTTCAAGTTCTGGCGGCTTTAGAAAGCATGCTCGATACTTGTTTATCTCTTACAATGTCGCATTAAACTGGGGTAAGCATTTAGTGCCTAATATATCTTTTCAGCTGAACAAGTAAGAGAGCTTTGTCGGAATAGAACTTGTTTTAACTAATACGAGCTATTTGAACACTAAAATAAAAAGCAATCAAAGAAAGACAAGGTAGTTAAACTGGAGCACTATGCTGAAATTTCGTAATCCTAAACGCGATGTTATACTGTACAAACAAAATCGTGTCAAACGTGCGCTATTTACCTAGAAAACAGCTCTTTTGTTATTTCCATTTACTGACGTCTCGACTCAGAAGTTAGAGAAGAATGCGAACGTGAAAAAAGTAAAATTTTACGCTTGTCACCAACAGCTGTTGTGTATGAACTTTTTTGTCACCAGGCCCTTAGTTGAAGAATGCGATAACGCAAGATCACGCCAGGTTCTCTAGTCTCCTCTCACTCAATCCATCGACCTCACGCCCCAAGTCGCCGCTCTCGATGAACAGCGGGTGCATGCATACCTAAGGATATGCGAACTAAGTCGGAGGATGAAGAACGTTGCCTTTATAGTTTGAGTTCAACATCCATTTTTCTTTACTGTTGCTTCTCAATTTGCCGCCGGCTTTAAAGCCTGCTTAACATTTTGAAGTCTTTTCTGGAATATTAGTTGATGTGCAGTATAAAATATCCAATTGTGAATGTTATAGACGATTGGCGCGTAAACAGACTCAACGGTCTGGCTACGAGTGAAAGGTCGTTGTCATAGCTTGGAAATTTGGTTATATCAACTCAGTTGAATTTGTAAAAGTGCTGATAGCCTGGAGCCTGCCTTGCTTAGTATCTCGGCATCGGGGTTCTGTATCGTGTCTGTGTGGCTAACGAAACAAAGAATATAGTAAGAAATAGAAAAAGAGAAGTTTGGTGAGTAGAAAAATGTTAAAATAAAGTGCGATTAGTCACGATTAAGACCAGAGGTGATATTCCTTTTTTAGCGACAAAACTTACGTTTGGGAAGCATTTCATCATCTTCGTCATCGTCCAGCATTCTTCTTTGTTTGCGAATTTTTTGTCTGCAAAGGTAATCATACAAGCAAAACACTTTTGAACCTTAAAATACAAACTTTTGGTGTCGTGTTTATTTATAAATATTATATATTTATAAAGACACCAGAAATCAAGTCGATTTCATTTTTACCACAATATCGACGTTGTCTGTATTCTCATCGACAACGGCTAATTGGCCATTTAAATTACGACATTACTGCCAATTGTGGTGAAAAATCTTATTGACAATAGTTTTTGAGTAATGCGCGCTAGCATTTCTACAGATATTGTAAAAATCTTATTACAGTTTTTTATTACTCCCATCATGCTAAAGCATACTCTGTTGTCTCACCTTTTTGTGCAGATACACACAGCCCATATTACTCCACCGATTCCAGCCACAAAAGCTAAGGAAGCGGCTATAATGTACACTATCATCCAATCTGACGACCAAAACATAATCTATTATCCAAATGAGCGCTTATTATCACTAACTGTTAAAGGTTAGGAATTGACTTTTACGATATGGAGTTAAATGATAGAGCAAAATGGACCTGCAGAGTCCTTTATTGAAAAGCAGATGATTATCAAAAGAGTTTCCGTTGTGGGTGATGCAAACGATCTGAGGTATCGGGAAGCTTAAAAGAATAAATTGCAAGAATCTTCTAGTTTAACTACGAATCGCAAGTCTCTTACAGCGGAAAAACTGCAAAAGTTGTTATTTGCTCGGTTTAAAGCTTCATCTTTTAACATAAGGCTTTATAAAAAGCATGAAGCGGACCAGAGGAGCTAACCTTTTTCTTTTTGACCGGACGATCCTCTACTCATATATGCCAACTTGACGTTTGCCCCTTCTGAAACGGGCTCAGCACTTGTCTGGCATAAGACACCGTCAAGACATTGCACTGCGAAACACTTTCCATTCAGTAAATAAGCGATATCACACGAGGGACGAGCACAGCATCGACCAATACACGGGTGGATATCATCTGCGTCACTCAGGGCTGTAAAGTTACTGGCCTTGGTTCCCGGTCTAAGTTTGATATCATTGGATATTCTGCTGTCCAACATGCACGTGGCAGATGAAGAGGCCAGCTCTGTCGTTGTAGAATCCTCTGGTGAAGAAGCAACTTCTGATAGATCTGGGGAAGTAATTGCCTCAGTTGTTAATGGTCTTTCCTCATTTCGATCAATATAACGGCATAAACAAAAGTAACAACAACAACATTAAAAACATAAGAAAGAAGCTGTTCGCAATCAGCCAGCTTGACCAAAGAAGCTCTTTTTTTACCTATAATTGTTCCTACACGGGAACAAAACATCTTACCCGCCCGGTAAGCCAGCCTTTTGAACTTTCTCATTCAAATATCGTTTTTTGCCAAGCTCTATTAAAGAAGGTTCTAAGTAGGTGTAATTACACATTTAATGATTACATCCCGAGGACAATCACAGAGAAGCCAAA